TCACTGCGAAAATATTGCCATCTCTATAGTGCCGTATCACTACATCACTGGGTTTTTGATTCATACGCTTCGTTAATAAACAAGGGAGGGGAAACAAAGAGATAAAAATATTACATTTAATATAAACTGGAACGTTTGAAATTAGCACATGAAGCGGAAATAAAATATTTAAGAGAGCAAAATGAACTTGAAATCAGTAAAAAACAAAATATGTCACAGATAGAAATAGAGAAATTTCAGCAACAAGTAGAAGCCATTGGTGCAGAAACAATTCAGGCTATTGCCACATCAGGTCCAGAAACACAAGTAAAACTATTGCAAGCGCTTGGCTTACAATCAACATTAATTACAGATGGTCGTAGTCCAATAAATCTTATGAATTTTGGCCACAATTTATTAGGTGGCACGACTGGTGCGTTATAAAACCTCAGCGAGGTTGTTAAAGATTCATTTTACTATTTACATATATAATTTTATCATTTTGTAAAAGATCGATGAAGGACAACTACTAATTGTACACACCCATCTCTCAGAACCGTTTTTATTTATACGTTGACGCTGAAAAAGATTTTCTTTGAACAATATAACGGAAGCGCCTTTTTAACTTTGCTTTCGTGCAAAATCTATGATAATTTTTTGAAGAGTGAGACAATACTGTTTTGAGCAGTATTATTTATAAATATTTCGAAACAACAGTTGACGATTACAGTTTACAACAGTTGACAAATTAACTTCTTTTTGAAAATAAATCTTTTTTTAAATATAAGTACTAATTACCACTTAGGATAGTCTTGATTGCTTCTACCTCTTATTTAATTTCATTTTTATTTGGAATATAGAAACGAGAGATAATGTATCTCTTTTGAGAAATGAGAGATTTCATATCTATCATTGTATCTATTTTGAGAAACGTCATTTCTTACTAAAATATTTGTTTCTCAAAAGAGATATTTTTTAATTGATTACAACAGATACATTTTAAAATATGGATTGGATCTCTTTTGAGAAGTTACGATGTCCAGTCTCTGCTGTCAATTGGTAGAAACAGCAAGTCTATATTACTGGTTAACTTCAAAAATCTATACACATGTAAACTAAAGCGTAAAAATAAATTAACTGCTGGAAATCATCAAGTTTAAAAAAGCATAGCTCATTCCATAATAGAAAATGGACACATAAAAAATTTTTTTTGATATAAATATGAATAAAAATAGCGTTGAATTATGAGGGTGTTCCTGCTTCGAATGAAAAATGCCATATCATTTTCATCAATTTTCAAGCATTCTGTCGTACAATTTATTCCCACTAGACAATCCTTCACAAGTTTTTGTTACATTGTGACTTACCATTGTGAATACTATAGGCACTTCGGTTTCATATCCCGAACGGGATATATATCTCAATGAAGGTATATATACCATTCAGAATATAAAAATATACACGGATCCTATATGATATCCTGATTAACCTGTATGTCCCGTTCCGCTCAAAATATATATCCTCTTCGGAATATAGCTCGATCAGGATATAAACTTATATTCTGAATGGAATATAACAGACTGAAGTCACACCAAGAGTTTTACCTACGGGTGGCACTTTTATCGTTCTTTTTCAGTCTGGAAACAACATATCTATCTTTTTAATAAGATATTGAAAATGTGAAGAAAATTTCTGATGAGGCAATGACACATATATGTGATAATATTTCATTAAAAAATATATATTCCACTGTGGGTTTCGTTTTTGAGTGTACGGGTGGGAGTTTATCTTTGAATAGAGTGGTTTTATCTATAACAAGGCTAAGAAGAGTGCGAATAAGGATACAAGAAAATGTGCGAGAGCTATCATCGCTTTTCTGTTATCCCTGCAACATTCTATTATTGTTTTCTTAGCTATCTTTTTGTTGTCAAATAAAATAAAATAAAATCATAAAAATCCTTGTGTACATCCATGTAGTGCTTATTGAGATCCACTGCAATCTAGCGTTTGAGTTGCCACACCTCAACTTATCCATGGAGATGTGATGGTTGTGTGTATTTTTGATATTGCCATAGTATTATAATGCTGAGGAGTTACCACATCGCCTTCAGTTGCTGTGGGTGATGATGATTAGGCATTATTTTAGCAATACAAATGAATTATGATCAGACACGCCGCTCTACTGCCAGCTGTAACTGGCTGATATGAGCCCACGTAGTTTTGCCTTTTTCCTTATCCTCTACCATATTGTTTTGTTCACATATTCTGTTGATCACGAGGCAAGGTCCTATCCATCATCCAACTTGGTACGATTTGCACATACCATGGAAAAAGCTAAGTCACCAACAGAATAATTAATATCCTTGTGGAGTTTGTCAGATCACTGTTGTGTTAATCGTTGTTTATGACATATGTTTGCTTGAGCTTGTTCAAGAACTATTCGCCATGTTCTTTTACAATGAATTTTTACCGAATGATTTTTACAAACATAGTCAGCATCGCATCGTTGCTTAACTTCTTTGGTTATGATTATTTTTAAACGTAGAATTTAGAAATAAAAATACTCTATAGTCTTGTTATAGATAAAACCACTTTATCCAAAGATAAACTCCCACCCGTACACTCAAAAACGAAATTCACAATGGGATATATAATTTTTAGTGAAATATTATCACATATATGTGCAATTGCCTCACCAGAAATTTTCTTCACATTTTCAATATCTTATTAAAAAGATAGATATGCTGTAGGTAAAACTAGGAGTGTCACTTTCTAGGCATGCATCGAGTAATTGACTAACGATTTCATATTTTTCAAAAGCCTGGCGTTTCGTAAATTGCTTCGTTAAAAATTTTCTGACTCGGTAAGAAGGTAGAGCAAACATTTCTCTACAAAATAAGATGTTGGACAGCTCTGTACGATTTGTTTTGAGTTTTCGGCAGCGATACTTCGAGAACACACAAGCGAGTA